TCGTGGGGGCGGGGCTAGCAGCAGTGTGTTCTCATTGGCTACTGAGTTTTTGATTGACAGCTTCTTGACCTGGAAGTGAAGGCGTCAATGTTGCCTTGCCAGTGTGGATGTGAGCGTCTGTTAGCGGCTTCCAATTTCATTTTAGTGATATAAAGTTAGGAGTTTTGTTTTTGAATTCAGTCTGTATTTATCTGTTGCTACTACTATAAATTTGTATATATTTTTTATTAAAAAAAACAAATTGAAGTAGAAATATTATTAGGTAATTGTAACTTTATTATTTTAAAAACTTCATTGTGTAATTTTAACAGTTGTATGCAACAGCTTACAAATCAGTCAATTTTAACCTTCATTATATTATAGTAATGTAGTACCAAATGACTCTCATGTATATTTTACAGCATTAGTTGAGAGATTTTTTTTCCTTGAGAAAATTTGGCAAGTACTGTACCTGATATATATCCAAAATAATCGATATTGAATCGAATCGGTAATCGAATCGAAAACTTGTGAATGAGAATCGAATCAAATCGTGAAATTTGTGTCAAAACCCAGCTCTAGTAGTTACTGTGTGAGAAAACATCAGTGTGAATTGCTAAGGCACTGTAAGAATGTGTCGGTGGTTGCTAAGATACTCCGGGTGGTTGCTAGGGAACTGTAAGAATGTTTCAGTGGTCAATAAGATATTCCAGGTGGTTGCTAGGGCATTGTAAGAATGTTTAGGTGGTTGCTAATATATTTTGGGTGGTTGCTAGTGCATTGTAAGAATGTTTGGGTGGTTGCTAAGATATTCTGGGTAGTTGCTAGGGCATTGTACGCATGTTTAGGTGGTTGCTAAGATATTCTGTGTGGTTGCTAGGACATTGTACGCATGTTTCGGTGGTTGCTTAGATATTCTGGGTGGTTGCTAGGACATTGTACGCATGTTTCGGTGGTTGCTAAAATATTCTGGGTGGTTGCTAGGGCACTGTAAGAATGTTTAGGTGGTTGCTAAGATATTCTGGGTGGTTGCTAGGGCACTGTAAGAATGTTTCGGTGGTTGCTAAGATATTCTGGGTGGTTGCTAGGGCACTGTAAGAATATTTCGGTGGTTGCTAAGATATTCTGGGTGGTTGCTAGGGCACTGTAAGAATATTTCAGTGGTTGCTAAGATATTCTGGGTGGTTGCTAGGGCATTGTCTCTCAAATAATCCCAGATCTCAGGATGTTTATATGTTTGTAATCTTCCCATGACAGAAACTCACCCGCAGTGTCGACCCATGACCTCCAGCACGAATGTGCGCTGGTGACTGAAAAACACAATCAATAAAACAACATGAGCAGAGAATCTGGGCCAAACATACTGTAGACTGACTTTATGTGAAACTATCTGTGAGTGAGACACATTCCCTCTGTGTGTGAAGAGACGAGCTGAGACAAGAATTCAGCACATTCACTGCATTCCTGAACAAATGAGGAAAAATCCCCTGATGAACGACAGGAAATTACAGTCGTCACAGCCTGTGACCATGAATAAACCTTTAAATTAATTCACCATTAATTAGTTTATATTTTCTTATCTACATGTGTCTTAATATCACTGAGATAATATTATAGTTTTTATCAGTATTTTGAATTAGCATTTATTTTTATATTTTTCATTTTCATTTTCATTTTAGCTAGTTTAGTCATCTTGTAAAATTTTAGTATATAAAGTTAAACTAAATTAAAATAATAAAAATTATTTTTTAAATATTTTATTTTACTTCAGTTAACATTTATTTTTATATTTTCCATTTTCATTTTAATTGTAGCTAAAGTTTTAGTAATTTTGTTTAAGATTTTAGTATATAAAGTTAAACTAAATTAAAATAATAAAAAATAAAAAAGTTTTTATATTTTATTTTACTTCAGTTAACATTTATTTTTATATTTTCCCTTTTCATTTGAATTTTAATTAAAGTTTTAGTAACTCTGTTTTGTGTTTTTGACATATTTAGTAGTTTTGTTTTTAAATATGTCTATATAGTTTTTTTATTAATATTTCTTTATTTTTTGGATTTATTTTAAGTTAAACTAAATTAAACTACTAAAAAAAGTATTTTTAATATTTTATTTTACTTCAGTTAACATTTATTTTATTTAGTTTAATTATTTAAGTTTTAGTAATTTTGTTGTGTTTATTTTTAGTAGTTTTTGTAAATATGTTTATATAGTTTTTATTTTAGTTTAAGATTTATTTATTTTAGTACATCAGGTTAATAACTAAATTAAAATAATACAAAAATTTAAAAGTATTTTTATATTTTATTTTACTTCATTTAATATGCATTTTATTTCAAGTAATGAAGTTAAAGTTTGAATTTTGTTGTGGAATTTTGTCATGTTTAGAAGTTTTTGTAAATTTGTTTATATATTTATAATTAATTTTATTTCAGTTTAAAATGTATTTATTTTAGTACATTTCAGTTAACATGTATTTTTTTCCAAGTAATGAAAATGTTTTTTTTTTTTATATATATATGGTTTTAGTAAAGATTAAAGTTTTAGTAACTTTGTTGTGGATTTTTGTCATGTTTAGTAGTTTTTGTAAATTTGTTTATATATTTATAATTAATTTTATTTCAGTTTAAAATGTATTTATTTTAGTACATCTAGTTAAACTAAATTAAAATAAAAAAATATTTTTAAAATATATATTTTATTTTTATTTCAGTTAACATATATTTTATTCCAAGTAATGAAAATGTTTTTATTTTTATATAAAGGTTAAAGTTTTAGTAATTTTGTTGTGGATTTTTCTCATGTTTAGTAGTTTTTGTAAATTTGTTTATATATTTATAACTAATTTTATTTCAGTTTAAGATTGATTTATTTCAGTACATCCAGTTAAAGGCACAATATGTAAGATTTTTTTATTAAAATATCCAAAAACCACAAGAACAGTGTTATATATTTTGCTGACTTGTGTACTTACATTATCCAAAATGTTTTTAAGAATGTTTAAATAAAGAGAAATAAGCAGTTTTAACTAGTGACACGGACCGTGTCTATAGTGTCATTGTGTCGCCTACTTTTTGTGGTATAGCTGACTAGTTGACTGTAGCTGAACTTCTTTAAATTATGAGTAGCTTGTATCTTGAGAAACTACAGTTTCAAACTGGTTTCCTGAACACTGTTGCAGAGTAACAGACTTGCCCTAAACGGACTTTGATAACGGCCTTCATAAAGATTTATGAGATTCTTATCCTGCTGGAGTCATCATTCATGAGCTTGAGGCAGCTCTGGCAGTAAACTTCTCTAAAGTTTCAATTCAGTCATTCATTTTTGCAATGCAGTTTAGTGATGCACCTTTAAAATACATCTGATGGCAAACTATGAAGTAAAGAGTTTTTCCACATGAATCATTCTGCACAACATCAGAGCATGTTATTGTATTGTGATGCAGAAAACATGGATGGAATTGCAGAATCCAATCCAATTTGTTAATTTTTTGGCACTAATTATCCATCCACGTTTTAATGCAAACAGCAAACCTCTATTGTCCAGCAGTTTGTTTGCAATAAACTACATTTGATTGCATTTTAAAAGATTAATTAGTTTCATGCATTCATTTGATTGCCACCATTTTTGATAATAAATCAGTATTATCACAGAATTTTTGACACTTTTTTTTTTCAAAGAGCACTATTATTATTAAACTTTTAATAATTATTAAATTGTTAATGTTTTATTAATTCAATTGCTTAGACATCCTTTTTGATTATTAAAATTTAATTAAAATGGAAAACATGGAATTTGGGGAAAAATAAAACAGAATTTGGGAAGAAGTAAAACAGCTTTCATAGGCTCCTAATAGAATGTGAAAATATTTATATATAGTTTTTATTCATTTTTATTTAGTTAGTTATATCAAGTTAAACTAAATGAAATTGAGAAATGTTGCCTTGGCAACTAGGTGAAATAAAAAAGGTTTATATATATATATATATATATATATTATTTCAGTTAATGTTTATTTGATTTCAAGTAATGAAGCAAGTATTTCTTTATGGTTGTAGCTAAATATAATAACCCTGTCTGGCATATATACCACCATGTCCCTAATGATATTGAGCAGAAGAGGGTAAAATGTGCTTAATTTTCATGGAAATTATGTCAAAAAAATTTTTTTTGGAAAAAAATGGATTAAAACAAAAAAGAAAAAACCCCCACTTTTTTTCCAATGAGCATTATTATTGTTACAATATTAATAACTTATTAAACTGTTAATGTTTAATAAATTCAATTGCTTAGACATTATTTTCAATTATTAAAATTTAATTAAACTGGAACAAATAAAAATGGAAAACACAGAATTTGGGAAGAAATAAAACAGATTTCATTGGGCCCTAATAATGTGATTTAGTACCTTTCTTCAGCAGCTCATCGAGGAGTCCGCTCCACTCGGAGCGGAAGATGTTGGCCCCGGTGAGGCTGCCGTCTCCTCCACACACACACAGGTTGGAGATGCCACGCTTGACCAGGTTAAAGGCAGCAGCTAAACGGCCCTCTCGTGTGGTGAAGGCCTTACAGCGCGCGCTGCCGATCACCGTTCCTCCCTGAGTGAGCAACACACATGCACTGCTGTTACGCCTGTAGACATTGCATTAGTGCATCTGATGTTTTAATCATAGAGAGGCATTTATTGCAATGCTTCAACAAGGGCAAACTGTTCACAAATGCATGTCAGCGCTGCGGCCGAACAGTTGCACGCATGCATCAGAGTCAAGCATTCAAAGGAAACGCAGCACAGCAGTCAGCGCAGACATACAAATATAAAACACACACAAACAAAAAAGACTCCCAAACTTTTCTGTCAGCCGAACCACTTAGATGTCAAATAATTCTCAGTTCCCTTAAGTTCCATTTAAGTTATCATTTTCAATTTAATTTGTTACCAGATAAACAGATAAAATATTTAATATTTTTTAAGTGTTTTTTTATTTTGAATGTTTATATATATATATATATATAAAATTTTAAAATAAAAACAATCAAAATGAAACAAAAAAGATTAAATATTTTACCTGTTAATTGCATTCCATTATTATTATTGTTGATTCAACTCCAAGTATAAAAATGAAGATATAAATATATATTACTGTTGTACATTACAGTTGTCCTTTAAAATAAAATATAAATATTTGATAATAAT